AAGTTTTGACACTCCCACTTCCTATTTTCTAAAGCATTTGGTTATATAAATAGCTAAATTCAAACTGGTTATCTACTTCAGATGACTGCAACGCCTCAGCTGATGGGCAGGAGCCATCTTTTATATCATTCTGCTCAGTAGATAGAGCCAAGTCACGAATGACTAAATGCTGCTTACAAACATAAAAACACAAGAGCATTATAATGGCTTGGGTTGTAATATATAATCGTGTGTCCCGGGTTTTGTAGTGCAAGCGTAGACCCCTTCTATTAAATAAACAGAGATTAATAGTGCAATGAATAACTATTAATGACTAAATTTGATTTGCAAAATCAGCTTTCCTCATCCAGGCTAGAGTGCTGTGGCATCAGCCTAGCTCACAGCAACCTCAAACTCCTGGGCTGAAGAGATCCTCCCGCCTCAGCCTCCCAGAGTACTAGGATAACAGGCATGAGCCACTGTGCCTGGCCCCAGCCCCCTTTTTAAACTGAAAATTTAAATATGTATGTGTGAATTTTCAAAGCCAACTTAATCCCAATAAAATATTTTGCATATTAGAATTTTTAATTTTGGAAGCTGCTGTTTTGAATATAAAATGAGATAAGATGTTGACACTAATATTTTCTTCCAGAATTTTCTATTAAATGCCATGGAATGCCTCTTAAGAGACAGAAAATTGTTGACATATATTATATAAAAATTCATATTTAAAAGAGCCAGAGGGTTCTAATATCATATTCTGTATATGAGTATTTACTGATTATCTTCCAGCTACAAAACTAGTTCCCAATTGTTTTTAAATTTTCTTATTTTTGTAGGTCTCAGGCATGACTCTACTATTTTACAATCTTCACTTACTATTTTTGACTGATCACTGAAGAGCTTTTTCTATTTTCTTTATCCATTTGGCAATTTTTATTTTATCAACCATTTGCAGAGTGACCTTGTAAAAAATTTGGTCTGGAAAATAAACTCAGAAACATTTTGGAACATATGCGTTACTACTAATCTCCAGAAGTTGGCGATGTACATTACAGATACTCTCTCTCTTCTGAATATCTACTAAAGGTGTTTCCATCATTTGGACTGTAAGAGAGTGGTTGGCTACTTAAACACACTGACTATTGGCTCGTGTAAATTAGGCACATGTGGCTGATCTAGACAGTATGCATGTTCTGTGTTTTTATAGGATACATGACAGCTCCTATGTTGGGAAGAAAGCTCTTGGATGTAAAAGAGTAGCAAAGAATTTTTATTTGGTTTCACTGCATGTTATTTGCTATAATTTATTTTGTGCCTAGTGTACTTCATGATTTCCAAATGCTTCATTCTTGATTTCTTGTGCTACTTTTGTTTTTCATTGTTGTATTTTGACTATTGATTAAAATGTCCCAAATTATAAATGGAAAAAATTGATTTATTCTTGTAACTTAAATGCAAAGATGAGAGTGTATTTTCTGAGTTGGAAAATGAAAAAACTGATTAGTAAATGTTTTAAACATGTAGTCTAGATAATAACTCTGAACTTAAGTGTAGAATAAGATATAATGAAGTATATTTTGCTGCTTAAGTATATCTTAGAAATATTCTTAGTGAAAATCTTAATCCATTCAATATCACCTATGGTAAGTATAATTTATTTTTGTTATGCAAATATTAACTGTATAATCTGTATTCTAATCACATTTCCTCCTAAATAAGGCAGCAGACACACATAGAGTTATTACATAAAGTATTTAATATCATGAGTATGCATTTTAGGTTCTGAACCTAAAATTTGTGCTTTCTAAAGCCATATCTAAATATTTCACATTTTAAATATTTTGCTTACGTATCAATATCACCAGTTTTTTCTCAATAAATGGTATCTTATAAAGAAGAAATACAAAGCCTATCCAAGTGTTTGGTTTTTCATATTTGATTCATTGAAGTAATAAGGAGGATTTATCCATTTAAACATAAAAATATAAGTAATCAAACTACTTAAAAATATGTTCAACTGAGGCCAGGTGTCTCACACCTGTAATCCCAGCACTTTGGGAGGCCAAGGCAGAAGGATCAGTTGTGGCCAGGATTTTGAGACCAGCCTGGGCAAAACAGGGAGACCCTGTCTCTATAAAAAATTTTAAAATATTAGCCAGGTGTTGTGGCACCCACCTGTAGCCCCAGCCACTCCGGAGGCTGAGGCGGGAGGATCACTTAAGCTCAGGAGTTTGAGGTTACAGTGATCTATGATCACACCACTGTACTCCAGCCGGGGTGACAGAGCCAGACCTTGTCTCAAAAACACACACACACACACACACACACACACACACACACACGCACACACGCACACGTATATATTCAACAAGTCTTTCACAAATATGTAATAAGAGATAAAATAATAAACAATATTTATTCCTGTATATGGAGATCATCCTGAAACCTTACTGTTATACAACCTATTTTTCATTAATTCTATTTTTCTCAAAGTTTTAAATTTAGTACAATTCATTTCAGTAGTTTCAGTCAATGAGCTAAAATGACAGTAATCAATCTCATAGTACAGGGTTTAGGCAATTAGAGAAGTACGGGACAACTTCTCAAATCCCTTGCATTGAGGATGAAATGAACTCAAGGCAGCCACCATCATTTGACAGTGTTCCCTAAACTTCAGTTCATATGCCATATTTATGATTTTTGACACCCTTAAGTGCCACCAGTACTATTTAAAATTTTTAATCTTCCATAAATGACTTAAAAATATCTTAAGCAATAGCGTCCATAAAATCATGAATCTGACATGGCAGTTATATTTTTTCTGCAACATATTAAAATATATAACCATTAAAACTGTTTCAGTGTTCCTCTCTGCACTGCTAGTGTTATGAATATGGTGCCTCTCTTAGGGAAACTCTGGCTTGGTAGCATGAGAAGCTGGTTGTGTTCTTCTCATTACTATACCTCCAGTTTTGGGAGTGAGCTGCTACCGGGTCAACAGTGGGAACTTTTGTTGGACGGTGGGTAGCTAAGAAAGGTGAAAGATGTATGCATTTCAAGTATTTGTGCTTTCTCTTGGAAGATTACTACAACAATAGAAATAATTTTATAGGAAAAGTATAAAGTATACTATAGAAGAAGATTTTTAAGAATATACTCTTTAAGACCATATTTAAACACTTAACTACCTTTTTTCTTGAATAGGAATTAATCAGTTGGCCCAGTAACTTCCTCTTTTGTTTTCTGGAAAACTTTAAAAATACTTTTCTAAGATGCTTTTCCTTACATCTCCTTTTCAAAGATTTATTTAAAGATTTTAGCCTTTATAATTTGTATAAAACCTTGCTGCTTTTTCCCTTTTGTTCCTTTCAGCACTCCTCACCACCAATCATTTATTTATTCTAGCTGCTTAATACCTAGGAAGGTAGTAATAAAATAAATGTATGTGTTGTCAAGTTCTCTGTTGAAAATTTTGCCTAAAATGATAAATGATTAATAGATGGCTGTCTTCCTTCTTTCCTTCCCTCCTCCTGTCTTCTCTTTTCTTTCCTTTCCCTTTTTTTTCCTTTCATTCTTTCTTTTTCAGCCCATTTCTTTAAGTTCACAGGAGCGTGTTCTCTGGCCTTCTCAATCTCTTAAAATAAGCAGAAATTATAAATATTAAATAAGATATATCATTTGTAATAAGAAATAATTCGCATGGTTCTTTTAAATAATGCCGAGGAAAGCTGTACTAGAAGACACTTAAATACTGAATGTTTCCTGGGACTCTACCTCTTAGACTGTAGACATGTAAATATCATTTGTTGGGTGGGGGAAACCTATAAATAGAACATGCCTGTATTTTATAATAACTTCCGTTACAATACTTTCCCTTCCTAAAGGAGCATTAATCTGTCTTTTTCAGTTTAGCGCTTAGAGTGCCCTTCACCCCAACTGCAGGAGCCTCACAGACTGTCCATGTGCAAAGAGCAGTTCATTGTGCAAGTCTATAAAGTAAATTTTGCAGTGACTGCTTTTTTTTTTACTTTTAAATACTCTAATTTTATAGTTATTAAATTTAGTCCATGTTTAACTCTTCATCTGAAGTACTAAAGAAAATGAGTTCCACTCTCCTTAGAGGATTCCAGGCCGTAGTACCAAAAAGCAGGACTTTAAAATCAGTCCTAGCAAGGATTCCCACATCAGCCCCGGCACAACACCAGCCTTGCAGCTCTGGCCACAGCAGTCAGAGCCTTCGTTTACTTACTCGCAAATGGAGATCAAAAGCAGTGTTAATAATTGCTAACACTTACTGCGTGCTGCCTGTAGTGGGCACAGTATTTTATATGCAGTTATTGATCCATTTAATCTTCACAACAAGCCCCTGTCTATTATTACAGGTGAAGAAACAGACATCAGGCAGCTTGCTCAGAGTTGAACAACTAGCAGTAGAGACCCAGCCAATCTGCATTGTACTATACTGTAGACTGCCTCGTTTTCTTTCATTTGTTGTATTGCCTTCCCCTCCAAATTTGAGGTCTTAACAATTTAAATCAGATTTATCAGAGGAAATGCATCCCAGCCTCTTTCTGTTCACATTAAATATGTTTATACAAATATAGATTATTAGCTATTTTGATTTTTAAACCAAAACATTTTCAAATCTTACAGCCCTACACCTGGTAAAGCTTAGATCCTTAGAGGTTATAAAGCAAAACTTGCTTCTCTGAGCCTCTGTTTCTTCATCTGGAAAACAAGGAAGTCTGAGTTCGTTATCTGTAGGATTTCTGCTGACTCCAAATTCTAATCTACAAATGTGAATATCTAATTATTCATTTTACAGTTCCCTTTAATTGGATCTGACAGTTAATATCTAACAAAAAAATGTTTCCTATACACAGGCAAGGTGTGACTATATCAAACCTCTGTGTTGTATTTGTGTGACATGGAAATGCCTTGTCACCTGGTGTGTGCTTCCAACACCAGTTACCTTTGTTGGCTCAAGAAAAGGTAAGCTTTTGCCTTTCTTTTCCCAGATGTACCTACCCCTGAATCTCCGAAGAATGTTGTGGAATCATCTGTAGTGAATGGAGGTTTAACATCACAAACAAAAGGAAATGGGTTAAGTGCGGCACAGCAGGTGCCTGTGCAGCGGAAGAAGCTCCTCAAAGCCCCCACCTTGGCTGAACTGGACAGCTCCGAGTCAGAGGTGAGGCCCCGTTCACACGTCTTCACTCCAAGTCCAGGGCGCTTAACGTTTTCTGACCCAGTTTGCTGATCATGTTGCTTCCATTGTTGCTTAATTTCCTCCCATGTTTTCAATCAATAAAGCTAGCATTAAAATTAATTTGGTTAACAGGAAATTAAATGGTAGATTACTTACTGTTATCAGTAAAGACCAATATAGTGCTGTAGTTTATAAAATAAATATTGAATTTTTGAGATAGTCTTAAAGTATAAGTTCAGTTAAAATAAATCAACAATTTTCAAGCTTATATTACCTTAATATCTTCCCCTTTGTTTGGAAAAGGAAAAATAGTCAAGAAAAACATATTTCCATAAACTGTTCTCCCTCTAAAATATACACACGTATACACACACCCACACTTAGGATTGTTCTTTCTGTAATAGTAATGCCAATACACAAGCTTCCAACAAGAAAACTCTAATGATGTTCCCAGATTTCGTCCTTTACCTACTGCCCTTCGTGGGGAGAGGGGGGCGGAATCTCACATCCTTGCTGATTTCAGCATCCACCTATGTGCTGATGCCTCCCTCCTCTCTCTCAAACCTCTATCAGGTGGTGTCAGTATTGTACGAATCATTGCCTGCTGGATCTCCACTGCCGGTTCTTCAAAATCAACTTATATAAAATGAAATTACCTTCTTCCCTCCCTTCTCCCCCACCTACTTGCCAAACCAGTTACACAAACACAGACACACAGAAAACTAGCATCTCGTCCTCTCATCATCTTAGTTGCTGGTGCCATCCTCCCCATATTCATCCAAGGTAGAATCTAAGGAATTACTAACTCTCCCCTCCTCAGTCTCCACCCCCAGTCCAAGCAATACCAGAAATAACAATTTTGCTACTAAGGGTTTTTCAGACCTTAGGAACAATAAAGAAATGTCCCTATTCCTAACTGACTTCAGTCAGTCTTGCTCTCTCTCTGTCTCATCTGTCTATCTGATTTTCTTCTTGGCTTCCCAAATTCCATCTTGCACACACCACCAGAATCTTTGTCACTCCTGCTTAAAACCTTTGGAGGCCTCCCTGTCACATACAGAATCAAGTTCATGTCCCCTGATCACACACCTGCTGTCACCTCTTGTCTGATTTCACACCCTCTCTGTCCTGTGGTTTATAGTGCAGCCATATGCTGCGGTATATTCGTTCTTTCTGCACTGTCCGTAGCTACTCAGCTCTGTGCTTAGCCATGTCTGCAGTCTGCCCCCCATATCCTTGTAAGAGTCAGTACTGCCTCACTTTCTCTCAGGATGTCTTCCCTGACACCACTACCCCATTAGGACCCCTTCTTTATGATTCTGTAATCACCCACTCATCCTCTGTTACACTGGAACACTTAACACTTTATTATATAATTATCCACTTATTTCTGTCTCTCCCACCAGAGTACAAGTTCCCTGAGAGGAGGAACCGTGCTGAATTCACCTTATATCCCCAGTTTCTAACACCCAGTAGACCTTCAAGTATTTAAATAAATTGATACTAACCTGTAAGAACAATGATTTCAATTTAAAAAGCATTTAGCTCAAATGTCATCTAGACCTGCAGTCCCCAACCCCCAGGCTGTGGACCAGTACCGGTCTATGGCCTGTTAGGAACCTGGTCACACAGCAGGAGGTGAGCGGTGGGCAGGCAAGCCAGCGAAGTTCGTCTGTATTTACAGCCGCTCCCCATCGCTCGCATCACCGCCTGAGCTCCACCTCCTGTTGGGTCAGCGGTGGCATTAGATTCTCTGGGAGTGCAAACCCTACTGTAAACTGAGCATGCGGGGGCGATCTAAGTTGCGTGCTTGATCTGAGGTGGAGCTGAGGCGGTGATTCTAGCGCTGGGGAGCGGCTGCAGATACAGATTATCATCAGCAGAGAGGTCCGACTGCACAATAAATGTGATGCGCTTGAATCATCCCGAAACCATCCCTCTGCCCCACTCTGTGGAAAAATTGTCTCCCATGAAACTGGTCCCTGGTGCCAAAAAGGTTGGGGACCACTGATCTAGACAGAGTGCTGCGCTGTTTAGTATAGTAGCTATTGACCACATATGGCTATTTAAATTTAAACTATATTAAAATTAAATAAATGAAGAACTCAGTTTCTTATAGTGCTCAAGTGCTCAGGAGCTACCTATGGCTAAGGGCCACCATAGGGACAGTACAGCTGAAGGTCCCCTCCCAGAGAGTTCTGGTGGGCAGCACTGATGTACAGCTCCCGGGAGCTCACCTTCCTACACCCCCTGGGCCTACACACCTTCCTGCCTGGTCCTGCATTACCCCCTGAGGCAAGACTTTGCACCAGGCCATGACCAGATAAATTTGCAACCTCTACAGCCTTCTTTGTGGTCCTTTTTTTGAAGATACAGTGTTAATGCCCCAAGTCCAAATGTTGAGATGATTTGCTAGGCACCTTGCTCTTAACCAGAGGGAGGCCATGTGCACCCAGCTGCCCATCATCAATTAGAATGTGACGCGAGCAGTAAGGTGCTGACAAGAGCAATGTTAGAGCTGGGTTCCAGCTACTGCTGACCTTTGTCACTAGTTGCTGGTTTAAGCATGGATGAATCACAGTTCTACAGTCAGGAGTAATGGAAATCTCAAAGATTATGTAACAGAGTGAATGATCTTAAGCGAGGGCCTAGAAATAAACATATTCCTCCCTTACTCTTCAATTTAAAATTGATGTTTTTAAGTACTAAGGAAAGACTAGTTAAAGGTATTAAATGTGGGAATGCTTTATGTTCCTTTTTTAAAAAGAATTTTAAAACTTCTAAATACGTTCAAACTTTAACATTTAGAAAAGACATATAAAACAGAAGTCTTTATTTTTAATCAACTGTTTCAAATTTAAGCTTTGTATTAATCAAAGTTTTTAAAAGTTTTCTATTGATGAAATACAGCTGTAATTTAATAGTGGGAGATTAGTTGTGTTCATCCTAAATGCTCTCAGTTAGCTACTTTCAGATTATCTATCAACTGGTTAAATCCAACTCCAAAGAATGTCTGTTGTAAAGCCACATAACTGACATTTATGTAGACACGCATGAAGTACCTGGAAACCCCAAAATTGGGTTTCCTTACAGTGTGGATAAGTGGAGATGGTTTTCCACGTGGCACCTACCTTGGGTCCAGCCGAGGGCATGTGGACAAGGCATTGGAATGGGCACGTCACCTTGTCAGCCTTCACATCCTCCATCTGATGAGGGGAGTGGATTCCATCATTTTCGGGTCTCTTCCAGTTCTAAAACTTGGCAGTTCTACCCCAGAAGTATGAAACTGGAAAAAATGTTGTGAAATTGTACCTTTTCTGAATTAATGGATAGGGATTCTTTTCCCTACATTTATTAATTTGTGATGTCAGGGAATTCCTGAACAAGATTGATTTACCTCTGGTCATATTTGCTCTCTTATAGATGGCCACAAATGCAAGTACTGTTAGATACATCCCCTCTCATGTTACACATACCTTCTCCATTCACATTTTTTTTTTTTTTTTTTTTTTT